TCAAATCCATCCTTGCGTGTCCCCTCCACGAAAGGGAGACACTCGCATTTGACTTTTGCCTCTCTGGACCCTGGAGGAACACTCCCCAGTCCTAAATTTACCGCTGTCCCTCGTCGACTACCCGAAAGTTTTCACTCCTGCCAGAGGCCCACATCCACAACTATCAACCTTAAACCGTTCGCTCAGACGCGTCACCACAAAACCTAATGTCCCTTCCACTTTTTACCTGCCTTTTCGACTTCCTCGTTTCCTCCCACAGCCTGCCTGCGCTTTCCTCCGCCTGCCCGGCCCTTGAAGACTTTCATGTCCTGCTCCAGTGCATCTGTCAAACTTTATCGATCTCACCGCCGGGAGAGGCCCATCCCTTTGCGATATCTTTCCGACCGAACACCTGCAGACCCTAACGTATGCCGCTTTGTCGTCACCGTCGCCCAGCGCCCTGCCCAAGGACGGACCTACTCGTGTACTGTACTAAACACCTTTGTACCTGTTACGAATGCAGCACGCCCCGTCACAACCCTTCCACAGCTTGCCCATTCTGCCCATTCCACAACATACCGTACTTCACATATACCCTCTTCGCACCTCTGTGTAAGACGCGCACCCCGCGAGCCTAACTTTCCCGATCACCCCTGCGCCACACCCTCATAAATCCCCCCGCAGCAGCACCTGTCCATTCCCAAACAATTTTTTCCATCCAGGCAACAATATTTACGCCTTCCACCCCACCCCGTGCACGTGCTCCGCCCACCACCATCACCACCACAAACTACAAAACTCTCCCCGTCCTGCCTTGTTTGTGTTTCTCCGTACCGCACTGTAGTTGTAAATCCCCCAATGTATCTGCCGTCTGCATGGTTGCTCCCACATCCATCCGCCATCAGCAAACCGAATTCCCTGAATTCCGCCTCCTGCGTCCCGTTTTCGCCACCAACCCAAGCCGGGTCACATACGTTTCTATCCCAACTGCATCCACACGCTTGCAAGATCCTCAGAGCACGTGACCGAGCGACCTTTTCCAACTCGACGATTTATTTTGCCAACATTGCTGTGCGCAAGACTGCATCCACATCAATAGACACACGCTGCTTCCGGCCTTTGATCCTGACCGCCTTATTGACGCATTCCGTCACGCACGCCTCCTGCGTATGGCGCACAAATATTTGCATATCCCTACTTCTTCCAAATATACCCCCGTCTATGGTCCGAACTCTTGGTCCTCTGCTCTGGGACCAGTGGCGTCACCGTTTTCGATTGGTCTCACAACACCCGTCCACCTTGCACTCCAATGCAGTGCCGTAGCCAGGACGTACGGAGAAAGCCCGCACATCTACCCCCTTGCCATATACTGTACCTAAGGGTACCAAGGGTACTGTACTGTGCTGCACCACTGGTAGGCTGTACAGTGCAGTACAAGAATTTCTACCCTCCTTGCGCCCCCTTCCTGATCTCACAATCTGCAGTACAATTGGACGGCCCCCTTCTGTTCGATAGCCAAACACCACGGCCACGGTGTTACAAGCTGCCCAAGCTTTTTGCATTCAGGATGCGTGCCGCCCGAACTTTGGCAGGCGCCGCCGAAGAGTTGCCGAAAACACGACCCTTCCGTAATATTTTTAACTGTCATACGTACCTTGAGCCATTTTTAAATTTGATCAAGGTCAATTTAGATTGTACATACTGTAGGTTGTGGGAGTGACGCGGAAGGGATGGCGGTTGGGTAAGCTCTTTGATGACATGGATCGCGTCTGCCTTCGTCGGCATCATCCGTACCGCTCGGTCCTCGCGAGAGTTGTCTGGGTACATACAGCAACCCATGCAGCAATGTTTATCCAATTTTGCCTTTTTAAAATACTCGCTTTCCCGCCAAAATAACGCATATCTCCATCTATCATCCCACGAATCACGTTTCCGTCGCAACCTTGATGAAGCTCATGTGCAGGGACATCAAATCTCACTCTTGATTGCGCCATGGGGCGCGCGAATACCGGGCGAAACTCGCACCGAACAAGCCTTTCGAGCCGCCTGGAGAGATGATGATGAGGTATACCTTTCTGCCCACCGAAGACTGTTCACTCTCTATCAAGATTCTCCGCAATAATAATGAATTGAGCCCGGAAACTCGTCAGCTCTCTTGCAAGGCTTGCGAAAACGTGATCTCAGGACCGCCCAAGCTCGAGTGAAAGGGGGCGAAACATGAAATTTGCAAACAGTCTCTTCTTGCTGTTTGGCAGAGCGCGTGCGCAAGAGGTTGTGTTTCCCGTAAATACTATTGTGCTACCAAGGGTACCCTTGGTACTGTATTATGCAATGCCCTGTCCGCGCCATTGCCAGCAAAGATTTGTAGGCTACTGAATAAGATGCAAGGGACGTAAACCTCGTCCACCTTGCCGAGACTCTGTGACTCTGTGACCATCTGCGCATAACCGAATTGGCGTTCGCATGACATGCAACCGTGGCCGCAAGGCGAGCTCCGAAGAGGCGCTGTAATGCTGAAGCCGGTCCAAAACGTAGAGGGAGCGCGAGACGGGCGCTGCATGCCTCCATAAAAAGTTGCTGATTTTGTCCGAGAATAGCAATGCGGGTGAGGCAGAAGCCGAAAGTGCCCTTGTCACAGCTGCGTGTACCGCAGCTCCCAAAGTACGGTGCACGCGTCAGCTGTCGACGACGGACAAACCGCTATTTCACACGAAACTGCAGGGCCTGCTCAGGGATGCTCTGACATCATACGTAAAGACTTCATCTTCGCACATTATGTGAACGCTAGTTCGAGATCTCGCCATAAACACGGCCAAAGGTCGCGCAATATTCAAACGGCGAGGGTAAGCATCGTCAACTGGCGATGTTCTAGGGTCTCCTTTAGGGGCTGCACGCCATTCAAGAGTCTTCTGCAATTCTCGCTACTCATTCTGTAATGCAGACAAGGTCTTGATGCATGGACTGTACACTATTCTGCAGCATCGTTGCCCGCCATCGCCGAATGCCAAAGCAAAAACCGGATACGAAGCAGCAGCTTTCGGGCGCTTGCGTGAGAGAAACCTTAATGACAGCTGACGTCAACGGCCAGTTTTATCATGTGCTTCAAAAAACGTCGGCGTAGAAGTCATCTGACCTTATTCCTTGTTGCAGGAGGGCCAACTCCTCTGTCTGGCTGCCATCGCTCATCAAGCGCCGTATCCTCACCAACCCACACACACACAAGACAAGGGACGGGATCGGGGCCGCACAAGTATGCGGTCTGCTCTTCACAGTCATTCGGAACACACATCGATCGCAGGTCTCTCGGTCTGCGTGCTGTCAGTCAGTACATGTACTGTACTGTACTGCACCTCTTACCGAGAGCGAAAGCGAGACAACCGCAGAACTGCATATTCGCATGTTCGCTTCTCACCATCGATCACGTGAGCACGTCGATGCTGTCAAGAGAGTTCTGCTTCACACCTTTTACCGACGTAGCGTAGGGCAATGCAGTACGGTACAACACTCGGGAACCTGTGAAGACCATTTTTATTCACTGCCTCTCTAGTTAATCTTAGTCTTCTCCGCATCATGTGGAATCTTTGCACCGCGTCTCTTCCACACGAGCCCAGTCGTCGTCAGTGTCAGTAGGGGGAGTTTTGGTGGATTTGTTGCACATCGTAGGAATTCCTGTGGGGTATCGAAGCGTTCATTCCAACCTTCGAACACCGCAGTTTATCCGCTACCGCACAAATTCTATCGTAATCGTGCCCCAGCATGTGTACATGAAACTGTGATGGGCACAGACGAGCTCCCGCTTCTGTATGGCAACCTGGCGCCTCCTTCTGTCGCCAGTGTACTGTACATGTCAGTCCTTGAACTAGTCAATCGGCACGCTCTCGAAGCTGCTCATGTGGTCCTTGCACATGCCTGGTCGGCCATCGCCTCGGAATCGGCCCCACAGCTCCGAAGAACTGCAACCAGTAAAGCACACAAGGCGAGCAATGAGAACGCATATGACAACCAGCCTGTGTCTCCGTCCCACCTCCTTGACGCGAAGAATATGAGATCGTAATCACCACCCGCGAACAATCACGCCCTGTGGCGCCTCAAAACCAAGCATCGTTCAAACCCTCTCTCGTCCACTTTGAGTTCTACAAAGCTAAGCCCGGCAATCTGCTCGAACATTTCTCGGATCGAATCACCAGATCGCCTGCCCCCAACTTCTAAAACAACATGGCCACCGTACCGTAGTAGAGCAGGACAACGCCTAAGACTCTCTGCAATAGCTCTGTAAGATCCCATTCCATCCCCGCCTTGTCCCAACAGCGCCATTTGAGGCTCTCTTGCAAGCCCTACTTTGTCAAACTCTATCTCTTTTCTGGTCAAGTATGGTGGGTTGCTGATCACGACGTCGAATCCGATCTCTTCCTTCCCAAAACTTTTCTCCAGCGCCGTGAAATCACCCTGCACTACTTTTGCAAAGTGTACTAGCCCAAGCGATTGGATGTTGCGCTTCGCATCCCCACCAGCTTCATTGCTTAATTCCAGACCAACGCCCTCGGCGTCAACGTTTGCTGACAACAAAGCTCCGGCCATTAAACATCCGCAACCCGTTCCAAGATCTAACAGCCTCGGGACTTGCACCTCGCCATCTCCCTTAGTATCGCTGCGCTTCACCCCTTTAACGAATGTCTCCCTCAGTAGCCCTGCGGCGGCCATTGCCACGCATTCGGAGCTCTTCCGAGGTGTCATTGCGTTAGTAGTAAAAAAGTACCAACGCAGAAATCTAGTTTTCGTCTCCCCTGATTCGTCGTCATATCGATGTCTTTCCTCCTGCACCTCGCGTGCTTGCCTTCGCTCCTCTAGGCGCCCTTCACGCTCAACAAGGGTGCTGAATTTTGGAGGCAGAGGACAGTCAACATAGACTCCGAGCTCGGGAAGTTCAACCCGTGATACCGCTACGTAAAGACCGCGTGCAGGGATCCCTGAAAGTGTGGCGTCCCCAAGGACGGGACACCCTGCTTCTCGCAGCCTCTTGCGTAACCCTGTGCCAGGCTGGGATGATGAGAGCGTAAGCAATCGGAGCGGGCCGGCAGGTGAAGGGATGGAAGATGAGAGCAGTAAAACTGCATCACGTATTCTGCGATTTGGAGAGCCTATTACAACAGCGTGCAGCGTAAACGTGACAGTGGATGGTGATTGTGTATCAGAAAGAAGGAATATAATAGGGCCAGATATCGACCGTGGAGGGCAGAAGAGCGGCTTTTGAGGCGCTGTAAAGCTGTGTCGGCTGGAAAGGATCGAAAGGCCTGTTTTGGGCTTCGAACCGGAAAGTGGTAGGCCCGCAGGCTTGTGGGCGACGAGAATTGACAGAGAGCGGTGGAGGATTCGTAGCTCGTGCGCAGAAGTTGAACTTGGCGATAAGCCAGGAAAGGACAGCACAGGAGTTGGGGATGTACGTGGGAGTTGGTTTGAAGGCATAGGCACATTTCCCGATACCATGACCTCGCCAAACGCAACAGCGTTCAAACGCCTGGCTCCGGACGCCTGGTAAGTTGCCGTAGATCTCGCTTGTTCTGTGCGTCTCTTTGATGTCGCACAGCGTTCACGACGGCGAAGGGCTTTGTGATGAAACCCATTTGTCCAAAAAGGGCTTGAAAGAGCGAGCCGTCTCACTGGTGAACAAGGTCAATAAGAGCCGTGAGAGCTTTCAAAGAACAGGACTCGCACACCATAGGCTCGCTCTTTCGAAGTTAGGAGCCCATGGGTTCTCAATTTTACTCAAGAATACTGTAGGCCCATACTGTGCTGAAACGACACGTGTACTCATATTATAAATATAGCTTTGCCACGTGTTGACGTTTCCAATGCATACCTCTCTGCGGAGTCGAAGCACTTCAGAAGCTGCTCAAATCCGGCGAGTTTAACGTCGAGTTTACTCTTCGTTGTGAATTATAGAGGGCTCCAACTCATCCACAACGCGGAGCTGCTGGGACATCTGAAGGCGAAGCACAGAGCGATGATCAATCCTCAGGGGTCTCTGGATAGCTCACACACCAGCTTTTGGCATACTGATCTCGTTGCACGCTTGGGAACCTCCAGAGATCACGACTCTTTCAGAAGTGCTCAATGAAACGCTTCAAATTCTCTTAACAGTCCAAATTATCCCTATGCCATCCATAGAGCAATGCTGCAATGCTGTACAAACAATATGCAAAATATTGTTCAAAACCCAGCATGTTTGTTTACTCCGAAAATACTTGCATCAAGTGCACTTTGGTATGAGCTTCATACGATCTCGCTCGTTGGGTAAGAAATTTTCTCACGAATATCGACCCATGGACTTTTTTCCTTGCGTTTACTTCAACACATGCAAGATACAATGTACGCACTCAAAAGGGATCGCAGAATCTCTTGAGCACTACACATCAGGCAAACCAATTCGAAAACCTCACACATTACACTTTAACCGGGCCAACTGCATTGATAACCGTGCACAATCAGCACGTTTCCGTTCAGCTTGAGTGCGTCTAATGACTGTGTACGACCATTGCCGTTAAATTTCAGGAAAGGAATGAGGCATATGCCTCAGACACATGCCAAGTCCTTCAAAAAGGGATGCTAGGAGTTCATGTTGACACTTCAGGCCGGACGCATGTCCTGACTTTCTCACCAAACGCTACAATTGAATATCTATGCGTACATAATCTGCACATCTTCGAGCGGCCAGTCTTCACAAATGGATTTGAATTCGCAACCCTTAGTCCTCAAATCATCTTCACACGAAGATATTCCTATTCATGGCAGCCGCAGTTCAGTTCTCTTAACCAAAAAAAGCAGCTGCTGCAGTACTACAAACTCCAGAGACAGTAGCATTTGGTGTGAAGGCGGGTACGCACTTGTGATCTCGTCTGAACGCATCTGTCTTAAAATCAGCAGCCCAACTTCGTCAAGAATGAAATCTGATGCCAAAATCTTGTTGTCCACGCACTGCCCAAACAGTACAGTGTCGCCAAGGAGTTTGACTAACCCAACCCTGTAAAGCATCCGAAAACTTATTTCTCAGTGATCCCAGGCGGGCCCACTGGTTTGCCGGACATCTGATGTGTAGCAGTGCTATCAAGAAAAAGAACGCAAACATTAAATTTATATAAAACAGCTGTAATTTGCCGTAGTGCCAATGGCAGATTTGATTGTATTAGGCGTTAACATGGATCTAAATTACGTAGTAATAGTATCACAGTGCTTATTAAGGAGCAAGTTAGTGAGTATGAGTGTGCAGCGATTGCAGCCAAGGGCCAATGTGGTCTCTCTACGGCAAGTATTAGGCAAGGGATTCCGCCCACTCACGAGATAAACACGAGAGGGGTAACAGTACAACCCATGACTTCATTTCCAGCAGTAAGTGGCTTTTCCGAAAAGCTCCCAGAAATTCCCATAGCGAATGGTCGCATGCAAGATGCCTTGTCTTGGCGCAGTACCCTTAAGGGTACAGCACAGCACAGTAGCATTATGCTTGCGACAACACGTAGACCAACACTTGGTCCAAGCTCCCACACACCAGAAAGAGCAAACATCAGTAGCGCTCACGCAGAAAACGGAAACCACGCTGACCTCTTAGCGTGGCCTTTAGTCACAGCGACATGAAGGGTCTTAAAGCCATGTCGACAGGGAATGTGATTAACTTGGCTCGTCCCTCCAGACCTTTCGAGAACAACAAATGTAAAGAGGATTCTCGCTCTCAGCAATATCGCTATAGACCGATACCATCTTACGTTGAACGAGAGCAGTCTTCGAGGCAGTATGTTTTTCTGTATTCACACTTAAAGTCCCGTAGTGAATGAGTTCAAAATGGGAGACTTCTTATGTTGTCTGCATAAAACAGGTTTCATGGCTTTTGTAAGTCTAATAACAGCTGGTCCACAATTTCAAGAACCGAAAATTTTCCACCTTAGGGTATCATATGCCACGTTAACGCGATTGGGACGCACAATGGTGCAGGGCCTCAAGATTTTCTGACATGTGTGCACCATGTTCACACGCTTGAAGTGTGTGTGACTTGTAGAACTCAATGAAATTACGTTTCTGTATCTACATTTTGAACGATACCTTATGGTCCCATGTAAGAGTCGCTCTCATAGGTTCTCAAAGATTTTGAGTTACGCATCGGAGTGTTTGGTTTCAAAGCAAGTGGGTATTGTGCAAACATATCTCCAGTTTCTTTATCTCGCTTTCTCAGGTCTTGACCTGCGTTTTATCGTTGTGAGTGTAAGAGATGTCGACAAATGGCAAGTATGTAAAGTAAAAACTAAAGAACAATGTTAGAACTGGACTAAGAACGAGCGTGACGCTCGAGAGAAGAGGAAAGGGGTTTAATACAGGAGCAAAAAAAACTATACTACGCCAACCTGCTAATTTCTCTCCTTACTTGGTACGCCGCGGGAATTGAACTAGAGGCCTCGCAGGCATGCAGTGCCATTTGATCCGGCATAGTCTTGTTGTAACCACGCCAACGTCCGTTCGACTTGGTTATCGTGTCAGCCAAATTGTCTTCCACGCAGGCTCAGCCAATTTGCTGTAATGTGGCCATGTCGCCGCCTGCTCTACTTGGTTTATCGTTTCAGCACAGCCAAATATCCTTCCACGCATGTTCCAATAATTCGGCACAGCGTCTTCCCTCCGGAAGGTTCCACACAGTACAGTAATCAGTCCTCCTTTCTTTTGCTAACAAACATTTAAGTAGATCCGCCAATAAACCTCAAAGGTGGTTTCCACCATCGAAGCATCACCTTTTCCCCAAAGCCAACTTCTTTCTCTTTCGCCCTGCTCACCACCAGGTGTGGTAGCACACTTGTCCACAGCACAGCGAACTCCCTTCTCCCATCAACGGACTCTGCAGCAACACAGTGTTGGCGCGACGTGCTTTTCAGTGTGATGCATCTCGTTGTGCAGTGCCCGTGTAATCTGCGCGCGACATGCATATTACGGTGACGCAAAAAGATTTTATTTTGCGCGGGAATGCTCGCAAACATCACCTTCAAAATGAATACTACGAGAGCGGAATTGAAATGCATTTGTAACAAGTGAAAACCGACAGATGGTCTCGATGTGCTGTTAGAGAAGGAGATGGAGATATGCAAAGAGCTAGTTTAGTTAGCCTAGAGAGAAAAGCAATAGTTGCAAAATATGCTCTCTGTTCAATGAGACTAAAAGACCTGTTGCTTAATGGTTTTATGATATTCTGGTCTTTAGAGGATCCATGGCGGACACGCAGGCGAAATGAGTACAATCGGCAAGTGTGGCTTTGTTTCCAACAGTATGAACATGCACGCAGCTCATCTTCCGTTTCTCTCCGACTGCTTACACATCGTGGAAAGATAAACACATGTTGATTTCATATTTTCCTTTTTGAAGCTGAGAGTTTCCAACTTTTCCAAATGTGGCGCAGCACAGGACCTGACATGCAGTATAGCACAGCTAGTGTGTACAGTACAGTCACTGAACAAGTCCAAGACGTAAAAAGTATGTGTGCGCAGCTCTCGATAACCCCCGACTTACGGTGGAGTACTGTCTGTTGCAGTTTGTGGTTCCACCCAGATAACGCAACACCACAGACAGGGCACTGCCATTAGGGCAAACACAGTTCACAACAATATAAAGCCGCCGTCGCCTCCCCTACCTTCGTGGGTGGGAGGCATCGGTCTGATCTTGGCACCACACAGTTGTGCGGAGGTTACAGAGCTCCAGGGTTATACGTACAGTACAACACGTGTGCTTTGAGTGAAATAAATCGACCGAATTATTCCCCAGTCAACTTTGTCAGGGTCGATCAGACTTACGAAAATGTTGAAACGTGCCTTTTGATGCGGCCCACTTGAACTGCATACAGAACGCTCGAAGGGTACCAAGGGTACAGTATAAAGAACCCAAATTTCTTTACCAAATACACGGATTTTCAACTTCTGCCCAAGCAGCATAAAACTACATACACGGTGCCGAATGATATAAATCCGTTGTGTTGCAGTTGACGTAATGCTGCAATAATCGAGGGTTGGGCTTCCCAGGGGCAAACTTGAAGTCATTTACCCGCCTATAATTCCCACAAGACTTCTTTCAACCAACGTGCCACCTAGACATTGGCCCTGGACAATGAAGAGTTGCCAACACGAGGCAGTAGTCACTCAACGCATACTAGAGCCAAAATCTATTCATGTCGACAATCTTGCAACAGCACTCTATCCAACTCTGTCCAGGAAAAAGAAATAACGTACACATGAATGTCGCGAAAGAGGAGAACACTGGGACCCTTCAGCAAGCCCGAATGCAATTGGTCATCTAAGCTATTAGAATACGAAAAACTCTTAATCCCCCCCTGCTTCAAAAGTCTCCAGCTCCCTTTCATGTTCTGGTAACGCATAACTTCTTCAGGCGTGCTTCATGGCATCGTTCTCAATAGAAGCAAGATGAACAAAATATGGTCCCAAGAAAACGACCATAAAGAC